ATCCAAATCTAACAAATATAAAATAATTTAGTCATGAAAGGGATAAAGCACCCAGCATGCTCAGCAGATGGTAGAGCATCTAGTGTGGCTGGATTACAGAGTATGAGGCAGGGATTAGCAGGAGGTGAGACTGGAAAAACAGCTGTGCCAAGCTGAGAAGGGCTTTGTATGCCATGCACCATATAGAGTAAGCAATGGGGAGCCACAGAGTTAATCATATTCAAGAAAAGAGGAATAAATGCTTGAGAGGCTCTGTATTCGGATGGGAAGATCAAGTGTTATGACAGAGCAGGTCAATATGAGAAGAAACAAAGAAGAAGAAGGAACTCAATTTTCACCCATGCCTGGAATCATGAGGGAGATGACAAGATGATATTAAGACACCAACTTGCCAATGGCTTGCAAGTCAGGCAAATGATATCAAAAGCGTAGTGATTTTTCCCTTGAAGAACATATCAGGAAACATATCACCCCCCAAGAAAGGTAATCAAGATGATAAAAATCCCCATACCTTCAAATGTCTATGAACCCACCCAACTCTAATCAAGGTCTGTCACATACCCATGAAGACAGTTGTTAGCTGTGGTCGAGTTGGCCCCTGACTCATGGCTGGCCACTTCATGCACAACAAGATCAGATAGTTGTGATCCACAGGGATTTCACTGGCTGATGTTTTGGAAGTGGATTGCCAGGCCTTTCCTCCTAGCCCATCTTGGTCTAGACACTCTGCTGAAACTTAGTAAGCATCACAGCAACATGCAAGCCTCCACTGACAGACTAGTGGTAGTTGTAGCTGAGCTTAAAGTGCATTGGCTGGGAATTGAACCCAGGGCTTTTTTAGGAGGTTAGAATTCCACCACTGCACCACCACTGCCTCAACCCATGAAGAGTAAGAGTCATTAATTCCATATCTCAAACTTATCCAGAGACAATACTGCACACCTGGTAACAGACATGATTTTGCAAACAGCCACTATAAAACCAATTTTGTTTTTCTTTTAAAGACATTTTGTTTTCATTCTTGAAATATGTTTTGGTGAAGGGACACACAAAGGGAAATATTGAGAGAAGATTTGCCCTGGCATTCATCACTTTAGGGGATTGCCTGTTAGGAAAGATAGTGAAGAACCAGCCTTTCTATTCCTAGAATCACTTGAGATGACAGCAAAGACAGCCATAAAATACCTGTTTGGCTCATGCTTTCTTTAATAAAACGTTTCTTTTCCCAGCTGTGCAACATTCACTTCCCTGTTTCTAAGTGCCAAGAGCTGATCAGAATCCGTCAGTAGAACCCTTGTTATATTAAAATGCAATCAACGGTGTGTAAAAGTATCTGTCTGGAATGTAAAACCATCCGTGCATTCGGCATTGCTGGGTATTTTCTTCATAATATATCAAAATTCTGAGTGGTCTCCTTATGTCATAAATTTATGGGCTGTAAACAAGATGTGGCATTAGACGTTGGCAGCAAATGTTAACATCAACAAAATACCTTGGATCTAATGCATTTAGCAGTTATAAATCTGAGCTGTCTTACCCAGGAAAGATGTTAACAACTGCTGTGCACCCAAAAGTCCATCAAGTCATGTTCTAGGTGGGACCTGAGGTTTCCACATCTATCAAAGTGCTCCTGGTAGCATGAAGGTGTAATGAGATGGCAGTATACACTCTTTAGTCACTGCCTCCTCAGTTATGCAGTTTTGTGATAGGTGTTTATGGAATATATATCAGCTAATTTGGCTGTGGGCATAAATCATATCTCAAGAACCATACTTGTGGGAGTCTCACCATTCATTCGTGATCCCAAGACTCACCGGGTTTCACAGAAATGATCTGTTTACATCTAGCAAAACAAATAGGACCAACTGAAGTCTTCCAGCCATGAAAATAATTAGGCTCGCTCTCTCTTTCTGCAAGAACTCCCCAGCCATGTCATTCTACAGAGTCCACTAAGTAAAAGGATATGGTGCCCTGAAGCCAGTCGCTAATGTGATGCTGAGCTCTGGACACAGAGAATTTGCTGCTGAATTATTCACCAAGAATCAAAGTGCTGTCAGATTGATGTGGGATGATTGGGAGGTGACTAGACAGAAACAGGGCTTGTTAGGACTGGAAGGCACACACTCCAAATGAGATGGTTCCTTCAATGCTGATGAAACAAGACTGGGATAGAATGGGCAGATGAACTCAGTTGCAGTGACTTCTACAGAAAAGTATTGACATTCTGTCATAACCATAATGTGCTGACAACGTCTAAAATCCTGAGGAGTCAGTAGGGCTTGGGAGGGACAAAAAGGGGGAAAGAAATAGGGAAGGAGCAAGATTTTTATTTTTAGGGGTATGAATGAGGATGGGGATAATCTACCATGGACAATTGTTCATCTGTTGGCTTTAAGCAATAGTAAATTGGGTTGTCCTGTCAAAAGACATCACACTGTCTACCAAGCGGGCTACGGCTGGCCCCTGAAGGAGTGATTTTGTGCCCACATAGCTTTGTAGAACTCAAAATAATAAGCTAAAGTTCTCTTGTAGCAAAGTTACTAGAAAATCTGTCCTTTCCCCCAGAGTTTAGGTTTGCAAACTTTAGATGCATGAATCCAGAGACCAGTGTGTAACGTGATTCAGAGTCTTAGGCTAAAAAAGTCAAGAGGCTCAAACTCGACATTCAAGCTGTCATATTTCTCTAAAAAATGTCAAATGGGCTTAATGATAGGCCAGAATTATCCAGTCGAAGCACCATTGCACTCTTGGGTAACCTCAAATAATAAATCAAGCAGGCATCCTTTCTCTGTTCCTCATTCTTGCTTTAATGGGAAATTCGGTGAGAAAAGGCATCCTAGTTTCACAGTAAGTCCAAAGCAACCATCCTCCTATAATCGATGGCCCAAAGCTATTCAGAACAGGGATTTCCCATTTGGAGTTGACTCTCTAGTACAGCAGCTCTTCAATCAACCTTCATGTCTACCAGCAGCCAACTCTGCTGACCCAAGCCCAAATAA